TCCTCCCCTCCTCTCCTCCTCCTCCCCTCCTCCTCTTCTATTTTTCTCGTCCTCTTCCTTCTCTTGTCCTTCTCCTCTCTCTCTTCTTCTTCCTCCTTCCTTTTACTGATGCTAGCTGTGATGTCTCTGGTGTTTCCTCAGCAGTGAGACCCTGGAAATTGACCTTTGAGCTGATATGGGGAGATGTGTATTTATGTTAAGGAAATAGCCACTATTTTTTTATTTGATTTAACTTGAACTGTTCTGGGCCACTTGTAGTTTTTTCTTTTTCTTTTTGGTACCAGGGATTGGACCCAGGGTGCTTACCACTGAGCCAGACCCTAGCCCTTTGTTTTATTTTGAGACAGGGACTTGGTAGGTTGCTCAGGCTCTCTCTAAGTGGCTGAGGCTGGCTTTGAACCTGTGACGCTCATGCTTTAGCCTCCTGAGTCGCTGGGGTTACAGGCGTGCACCTCAGTGCCTGGGCATTTGTAGTTCTTGATGTCCCCTGGAGGACCCCGGGTGTGGTGTTTTGCTTCTGTGATCCTGAGCCCCGATGCAAAGCAGCAGCACCACAAAACAATTACACACAGGAGCTCTGGGCTCTTCCGACCTGGGCTTAGAACCCTAGCTCTGTCTGGACGTGGGTTTCCCTTCCCCGAGAGCTCCCTGGTTCTGAGCAGAGGTGGGAGAAAGCCAAGTTCCAGTTTGCATTGTGTTTAGGGACTTGGGCTTTGCATTTTCCAGGAACCCAGTAGACATTCCCTTTGTGCAGTTCCTGTGTGTTTTGTAACCTTTGATTTGTGCTCTTCAATTCAGGCTCCTTAGTATTGAGACAGTGGACGCCCAGCTCTGCAGAGTGGGTCAGTGCAGGAGCAGCGAGGAGACTTTGTTGCTCACCACCACATGACCTCTTGGAGGTACCCAGGATCCCCAGGGTTCCCACGTCCCGTGACCCTGGCGTTGAGCTCTGGGGCTGGCTGGAGCTGTCTCTGACCCCTTGCTCTTCAAAGTCCCACTAAACATCAGGTGGCCTGTGAAGATGTCCCAAAGACATCTTCAAAACCGTATTATATTTGGTTTTGTAATAAAAACTGAATTGTAATAAAGGTGGCTTTTGCTTGTGGGATGAATGCAGTACCAGCTGTGCAGAGGGTTGTGGAGGAAAGACCTGCAGGCAGAACCTCTGTCAAGCACCGAAGGGGACACGGTGGTAGCTTGACCCTCAGCAGCTGTGAAAACTCGCACTCTGACCTGATGCCCCAGTGGGGCCAGAAAAGAGGGAACGTTCCCTGGTGACCACTGGAGCTAGGTCTTTGAAGATCAGTCAGACAAACACGGGCCTCAGGACCCCAGAAACTCAATGAAACCATGCAGCCCAGATCTCTGGCCTGGTCATGCTCCTCAAGGCTGCTGGGTCCTATGCTCCGTCCACAAGCCTTAGGTTCTCAGCAGTTCCCACACCCATGGCTGTGGTTCTAGACGCTCCCAAAGGACCAGATCCAGCAAGGGCTCAGCCAGGGGAGTTACCTGCATCCCCTGCAGCAGGTGGGCACCGAGAAGACGAGGCTGACCTTCCACCCACACCAGTCCTCCTGTGCACCTGCCCTCTGGGAGGAGGCCTAAGGCCCCTTTAAGGATGTGTCTGGTGGCACAGAGAAGGGACCCAAAGCCTCCCTGTGGACTCCTGAGCACAAACCGACCCTTCAGCCTGAGGGAACAGCAAGCAGCTCCTCTGTCCCACGTGTCCATGTCTCGGCTGCAGCGTGGTCACAGCTCTGCCAGCCACGGACAGCAGGAAGAAGTGAACAGGGAAGGCTCGCGAGCTCTCTCTCTGTGCTTTGCACTTTCCAGGGCCCCAGTGGGCACCATCCAGGAGGCCCATTTTGCAGATGAGGTGATTGAAGCCTAGAGGGTGACATATTTGCCCGAGGCGTAGGTAGGTATGGCCCGTCTGATTCCATGAGGCCTCTCCTTGACCACCCCCCTGCACCTGTTTATCCTGGGCTGGAGGAAGGGATGCAGCTGAAGGAGCACCCAGAGTGCAGAACCAAGGCACTGTCACTGCTTGGGTGTCCCAGCATGACTCCCGCTGGCCTGGGCCCTGAGGGAGGGAACAGCCAGTGCTCAAGTGATGTTTTAGGCGCTGAAGGAAGTGGGCCGGTCACCTGCTAGAACAAAAAGCTGAAGAGGACACTGAGTGTGCCCTGGAGTTAGCTGAAAGCTCTGGCTTCCTGATTTAGCTCAACAGCCAGCTCTTGCCGACCTTCAGATGATGGCAATAAAGACGAAGGGCAAGTAGACTGAGAAAGCAAGTTCTGGAATCATCACTCCGAGAAGTCTGGATGTGAAGTAGCAGAAGATTGGGGACCAATGGCCATTTCAGCAGGAATTAACTGTGGCCCCAAGATGCACAAGACAGAGGCCCAGGAGGCTCTGTCCCTCAGGACAGAGCCAGGGAGCTGCAGGCCTGTCCTCTAGGAGGCACCCAGAGGCCAGGCTGGGTGGTCAGGCCCAGCTTGTGGTGGGACCTGGCTTCCCCATTCTCAGCCAGGCAGCCGTGACATGGGGAGTTCAGCTTGGGGAGGTGGCTTCAGGCTGGAGGAGCCGACTCCAGTTTGTCCTCCTGGCTCTGTCCCCTCTGGCACATCATGAGTGTCGCAGTGAAGGGCACCAGAGGCCAGTTGAGCAGGAGCAGCTGTTCCTCACTGGGAGCCACCAGCTCCAGGCTGTGCTCCTGCTGAGCTGTAGGCACGTGCCAAGCAATTAAGTCGATTGGGTTCCAATGCCCCTGACCAGGAGCTCGGGCACCCTCACAGAGCTCTGGGCAGTGCCAGCTAGCTTGGCAGCTCAGAGGGCACCTGGCGTCCTGCCCCGGGCTCCTCTCTGCCTAGGGGTGCCTCTGTGCATTTGGAGGCATCTACACAGGGAGCTGATTCTCTGCTCGGAGGTCTGCGTTTACCACCAGCCACCGCTCACGGCGGGGACTACCATGGTAACTAAAAGGGTATCTGAAAATAAAATGTCACTTTTCAAAATCTTCTACCGTGATGGCACAGGAAACTTGCTCTCCGTTTAACTCACCAAGACAACTGAGAAGGCTGGGGGCACAGGTGTGCTGCGGCGTGTGCGGAGACAGGTGTAACCCAAGTCACAGGGCGTGTGAGCAGTGTGCGGCTCTGTGCAGCTGTGTGGTGTCCAGGCAGGAGGACCACGCATCTGACCTGGTGCGTGTCTGTCTGTGTGTCTGTCTGGAGCCCAGTGCTGGCACATGTGTGGGAGTCCAGGGCCAGAGCTATGGGTGACAATGTGTCTGAGGTCACCGCCCCAGGCGAGGATACTCCCAGATGTGGACACTCCCCAAGCAAGGACACTCCCAAGGCATGGCACTCCCAGGAGTGGACACTCCCCAGACGAGGACACTCCAAGATGAGGACACTCCCAGGCATGGATGGCACTCCTCTCAGACCAGAGGCTGTGAACAGTGCTGACATCTTGCCCGGGAGGCACCTCCTGGGCCCAACAGTGAGTCGTGAGGCCCGTCTGCCTGTTGCCACCTACAGATGTCCCCATGCCCCACTTTCTCAGACGAGGCTCTGTCCATGGTGACTGGGCCTTTGTTTGTGTCCTGGCCACACTCCCTGCACTCCCATCTCTGGAGATGCCGCGTGTTATTGTAGAGCTACTTTAACTTCAAAATGGAACCCGACAGAAAGAGTCCTGAGGAGAGTCTGTTCCCATCAGTGTCCGTGGTCACCTGTCATTCTACCACTGGCCCCATATGGGCCACACAGCATATGCACCTCAGAGTCATTCCCCGGTGGGGAGATCTCTCAATGCAGTCCTGGGAGGGAGGGGACAGGTGGGGACGGACAGCAGCAGAGATAGGCAGAGCTGAGGGTGCCTGAGCCCAGCCACAGGAGAGGGCCAATCAGGGGTGGTGTCGGAAGAGGTGATGGCTGAACTTAGTCGCCAGGGCAAGTAGGTGTCAGCCAGAGGTCAGGAAGAGAGGACTGTCCGCTTGGCGACATGGAAGGGCCCTGAGGTCCCACACCCTGGTTGGGTAGGAGCTGTCCTTGGACGCCCTTGCTGTGTTTAGGGAGGGTAGGATGACCTCGCCGTGGACTGTGACTGTGTCGTAACCCCGGAGGTTTGGTGTCACTCCGTAAGGTACTCACTTGGTTTCTGGGGCTCTCTTGATGTCACTGTCAAGAAAACTGACGCTGGGCGGTGCTGGGCTTTCCCGTGGGCCGCAGTCAGCTGGTGGCCCCTGGGCCTTCTGCAGAGCCCTGGGGGTGCGAATGGAAAAGTACTTGCCATGTGAAAGCCTGTCCCAGAGGGCACTAGGGGTTGTTGTGTAATGCCCGCTGTGACATTGAGGTCTTATTAATAACTAAACATCTGTCACAGCCACCACCGTGTTCCTGGTGCCAGGACTGTGCTTCGTGCCGCTGTCCTGGGGAGCGGAGGGCGGGTTGAATTATTTAGACGGCTGACTCTGGGTAAATAACCACCCAGGCTGTTTCCTGCAGTAAGTTTCTGTCACCTCCTTGCAGTGCCCCAGTGTCCTCGCTGACGTGCCTTTGATGTGCTCCCAAACCTCCCTGAGACCACCGCCCTGGACCCCCGATGCGGCTGCCCGAGCAACCTGGAGAGGGGAAGCCTGAGAATGAGCAAAAGGGGGGCCAAGGAGCCCCCGAAGGGGCAGAGGAGCCGCCGCGGAGCCAGGCCCCCGACTTCCCCACCTGGCAAGTCTCCCCTACCCAGGACCGGGCTTGGCTGGCAGCCTTCAGGCGGGGGGGAGCACAGGGTCCAGGAGACAGACTCTGTGCCGAGCACGCCTGGGCGGGGGTCCCCAGGGCGAGCTGTCCACAGAGCAGTTGCTGTTCCTGGGGCTGACGGTGGAGTGGGCAGAGGGAGGGTCTGCAGCCTGGCATGGTAGGGGTTGCTGTCGGGTAGGACTGAGAACGGAGTAGCGGGGGCTGGATGGGCCTCCCTGCATGGCTTCTGCCCACCTCCCGGTCACCCAAGTGCATGCTCAGCCTGTCCTCCAGGAGGAGAGGGAGTCATAGACCTCGAAGTCTGAAGAGGACCAGGCTCCCACCAAACTGTCTGAGCCCAAAGGAGTCCTGGACACATGCCTTGCGGTCCCCAGTGCAGAGCGGGCCAGCCCAGGGCGAGGGATGCTGTCTTTATAAGCCACAGGCTGCCCTGGGTTTCGATCTCGCTCTTTTCCTTCTCCTTGGAGACACTCGGGCTATAAACTTTCAAGAGGAATTTCAGCTCTGGGGGTTTGTGTAGGAGGAACTGTGGTCTGTGTGTTTTCTGGCCCCAGGAGTGGTCCAGGGTGAGTCCTGCAGCTGCCTCCCGAGGCCATCTGGAGGCGATCTCTGCCTGCTCTGGCCCCAGCTCTAAGTGGTGGGTCACAGTGCTTACAGTGGGGACAGTGCATTTAGGTTTATGGAGCAAAAAGGAAGTGGAAGGGTTTTTGGTGGCTACACTGATTTCCAGCATGTTCTCCCAGGCACTGGGGGCTGCCTGTGGGCTCAGGCGCAGGAGGCAGGGAGACCCTACCTGAGCCTGCTCAGGACACTCCTTGCTTGGGAAATCTGGGTGGGAGCTGGTGACCAGGGTCCTGGCTGAGGGCACGCTGGCCAGGACTCTGGGGAAAGTTCTAGAAGAAGGCAAGAGCAGCCGACACCATGCCATGCCCCAAGGATGGGCTCAGAAAGGTTGGCCAGGGGCCAGAAGAGGACCTGTCCCAATTCACCCTTCTAGGAGAGGACCCCAGGGAGACACTGGGACCAGTCTAAGAGTGAAATTCCTTACAGGTTTGCATGGGGAGCAGAGGAGTGGGGCCCTCCTCCGCCTCAAGACCTCGGTCTTAGGTTCCACGTTGGGAGCTACGAGGCTGTTATTTAAGGGCTGTGTGTTTGTTTTAGAATCAAGTTGTGTTTTATTAAGGCTGAAAGTCGGCGCCTTTTACAAATGGATCCTCCTGCCTCCTGGACCAAAAGCACTGACCCATTCCTGGTGGAACCAACGCAGAGGGGCTGAGTGGCCAGGCAGGTGGGGGGTGGACAGAGGCCTTACACAGAGGGCAGGGCCTACAGAGGTGGGACCCTCCCATCTCCAGCATCCCTCCAGCCTCCCTCCAGCCCCTCTCTCCTGTCTGTCCACTGAAGGACAGCAGACTGCCCCAGACTGCCTTCCTGTCTTTGCTAAGATGTGGCGGGCTGGCTCTCTGTCAAGGAGGTGACCTTGGGTGTGGCCTTCCTTTCTTCACCTTCCTCTAGAGCCGCACAAGGGTGCAGAGCAGTCAAGAACTGGCTCCGCTCTAGGCTGTGAGGAGGTGGCTCCTTGGCTTGGCATCCTGGGGCCTGCAGATCTTAGGACGAGGTCTGGAGATGACTCAAGGGTGGTCAGTAAGGACAGGAGGCCACCTCAAAGAGTCTCTAGGGAGCAGGGAGACACAGGTAGCACAGTTAGGTAAACAGTCGGCCTCTCTGGCGCTGCCCAGCCCAATCTGGAGGAGGCTCTTCTCCTATGGGGAGAAATGGATGCACACTATTGATACAGCAGCTAAAAATAACCCGTGTTCCAAACAAAGTGTTTTTAGTATTTAGAAATGAAAACGTGTAGACAAAGCATGGATGGAGACTGCATGAGTCACAAACTGCTGACTCTGAAGCAATAGAAATCCAGAGAGAGTTCCTTCTCCCTCTGCTTGTCGCTCCCCCCCCCCCCGATTTGGAATAGCTTATAAAGAGTGTCCCTCACAAGCAGGACCCCAGACTCCCCTGGGAGTTACGGTCCTGCGCAGCAGGGGCTGAGATCGCTCGGCTCTCACTACCGTTCGCGGAGCTGGCCTCCTCATGAGGCCCCTTCATTTCTGCTCCTGGTGCGATTGCTCCCAGGCCTCGGCAGGAGCAGGGACTTCCAGGCCCCGTTAACCCGGGCTCTTCCCTCCCTGGGCTCTGCCCCGCTGGACCTCAACTCTGCTGAACTCTTCAGCCCAGCAGGGCCTGTCACTGAGCCCTGGCCCCAGGAGCTACGCCTGGGGGGGGCACACCTTGGGGCGTGGCAGCAGGGTGCAGCAGTGGTGTCCCCGTCCACACTGTATCTCAGGCTGGCCTGCTGGCCCCTGGGATCAGACCCCCACCCCACAACAGTGCTCAGCCCAGCCTGCGATTTTGCCTTCTGCAGTTTCCAGCGTCCAATGTCACCTGTGGTCTAAAAACATCACCGTAGCACAATACGGAACAAGCTTCAGGCTGATCACACACGCGGGTCCAGGACGGCTGCCTCGTCCCTGTTCCATCTCTCATTGTGCTGACCTCTCAGTTAAGTTTCACTGCCGACAGCTTGTCATGTCAGTCACGGTCCCCAGAACCTGTGGAGTACGTCAGAGGGGAGTCAGAGAGAACTGCGAAGGCCGTCTGTGATGTGGAGGACCCGAGAGGCTGCAGCACGGTCCAGCCCAGTCCAGAAGCTTCAGAACTCGGGAGGCTGCAGCCTGAGAGCCTGGCGGGTCCTGGGTCCAGAGGCTGTAGAAGCTGATTCTGAGGTCCCAGGGCAGGAGAGGGGTGTCCACACTGGGGGAGGAGGGTGCCCATGCTGGGGGAGAAGTTTGTCCACACTGGGGGAGAAGGGTGTTCGTGCTAGGAGAAAGAAACGAGATCAGGGGTGGGGCACGTGAATCCCTTCCTCCTTGATGTTTTCCTTCAGGGTCCAGTTGATTGGGCCGTCCACGCACAGGGAGGGCAGATCTTCTGTCCCCATGCACAGACTCCCCTGCCGGCCCCTCCCAGGCTCCCTCAGACGCACCTAGAGATGATGCTTCTGGAGCCTCCGGCTTCTCTCCACTCAGCCAGGCTGAACGTGAAGCCACCGTCACACACTCTGTGCAGGAAGAGGCTATGTGGGGTTCCGTGCCCGTGAGGTTTGGGGCACCCACGGGCCCTGGCACACACCTCTGTGCACAGGGACTACTGGGTTCCTCTCTGAGCACTTCCCTGGCAGCTCCCGTTGCCATTCCTGCACCACACGGTGAGGGGGTCCCACAGCCCCCAGCCCCACATCCGCAGCCTTGGCCCCAGCAGGGCTCAGTGACCTGGAGGCCAGGTCACCGCCCCTCCCCAGCAGGACTGTTCCGCTCCAGGAACCTTCTCATTCACAAGGAAAGCTGCACGGGGCTGAGGCTCCCTGGGCTCCCTGCCCTGCCTTTGTCATTGTCCCTGCCCATCAGAGTGCAGGAGGGCCTCCCAGTATAGGACCTGTGGGTGCCTGGCCACTGTCCCCCCTCTCTTCACAGCCCTGCTCCATCAAGGGTGTGTGTCCCTTCTGCTCTCTCCTCCAACGTCCTTTGCTTCCCCAGCACAATCATTCTTCTGCCGTCACCTGCTTTTTGAAACCTGCATCATGTTCTTAAAGCTTTTGGAAAAATCGCTGTTTGCTCTGTTTCTCAGCTTTCACCCCCGGCTCATGCTCCCCTCACTGTCATGTGTCTTCTGTCCCCATCTGTCCCATGGTCCTATTCTGGAGGGACGGAGGAGCAGGGCTAGGGCACAAGGGGATGGGCCAGGGAGCAGTGGTAAACATTGGAGCTCTCGGTCACAGCAGACAACATATGCTAAGTCAGAGACCTTCAGAGAGGGCTGGACGCCCCCGGGCTCCTTCCTGCTGCCCTGGCCAGCTTCCCGGAGACCCCATGGGCATGGCCTCTGTGGCCACCATCCCTGCAGCAGGCAGGCTTGGCTCCACTGCGGCAGCCACACCCTTGCCCTCCCTCGTTGGCTGGGACCACTCCCTGGATCTCAAGGGCTCTCAGCAAGACACCTCAGCCTCCTCCCCCCTCCTGGGGTCCTCCGATCCAGTCCCTGGAGATCTTCCCTCCACTGGGACCCACTTACTCCACGTGGCTCTTCTCGGGCCCCATGAGCCACACCGAGGATCCTCGGAACATCAAGATAAATGAGCCTCCTGGCCAGTAAGATTCTGATGACAGACTGTGGATGACACCACATGGGGAACCACAGAGATGCCCCACAGCGAGGAAATGGCTGGTCTTGTTTAACTCTGCTTTCTCAAACAAGGTCTGGGCCTGGGATGCGGGGTGCCGGTGGGCAGGTGTGTGCGAGTGACTGTGCCGGAGAGTCAGGAAACGGCCTGCCAAGGGTCCCTCCAGGGACACCCCTAGTTCTCAGGTGGAGGCAGATATCAGGTGTGGGTGTGTCCGGACCCAGCGAGGGTCCACATTCTCCGACCATTCTTTGGTGTGTGGGCTCCATGCCCCACCGTGGGACAAATCCCTTCCCTACGCAGCTCTGGGGACAGTGGATCAGCACCCACCTGAGTTCACATGTTAGGATCAATGCAGGCTCAGGGTGCACCCAGCACACACCAAGGGACCCATGAACGCGTGCGTGGGTGCACATAGACAGGTGTGCAGCCCTGGGGGATCCAGCCCTCCACTTAGGAAATGATGGGATGGTGCTGAGGGCAACTCAAATCAGCACCTTCACATCCAGATGGGAGTTCGCTGCTGTTAATGCGATTGCGCCTCTGACCCTGGCTGCACTCCGCGGCTCATCGCTAGCACCCTTCCCATCGCACCCTGATTTTTCCTGGCCCCTACTGATGTCGGCTTAGGTTGCACGGCTCTCTCTCCCTCCTCCCTCTCTCCCTCTCTCTTCCCCTCTCCCTCCCCCTCCCTCTCCCTTCTTCCCTTTCCCTCTCTCTCCCTCCATCCCCCCTCTCTCCCTCCCTCCCTCTCTCTCTCCCTCACTCCCTTTCCCTCTCCCTCCCTCTCCATCTCTCTCCTCCTCCCTTATATTTGAAGTCACATAGTGAGGGGGAGAGAGGACACAGGGTCAAGAACAGTCTTCAGTGAAGCTATTCTGCACGTGCAGCGGGTGTGACCCTGAGCTCCACAGAGGAGCACACACTGCTATCCACCATCTTAGGGAGGAGTCCTGACCACCCTCCACGTCCAGGAGACTCTCTGACCTCTCTCCCGGGGATCCTCCTTCACAGGGTCCTCTTGCCTCCTGCGTGACCCTTCTGATGAAGCCCCTTCACTGTGGTTCCCTTGACATCCTCCATGCCAGTGAGTGTCCTCTGCAGGTGCTTCCTGGGAGCAGGCACTTGGCCCCAGGCACCCAGTGTCTCTGGAGGGACCAGTGGGGAGGGCACTCCTAGTACACTTCAAATCAGAAAGTGCACACACCCAGACGCACACCCAGCAGCGCATAGTTTACTGCTATTCAACTATTAAAGTGCCATCCCATGGCCTTGCCTGGGGGACCAGCCGTGGTGTGGCGTGTCCAACCTCGTGGGACCATTGGGGAGCAGGCTGCTCAGGGTGAATGGGCCTCCACAGGTGTGACAGGCAGTGCCGGGCCCACAGTGGCTGCTGGGCAAGGACCAGGCCTTGAAGGCAGTTTCTGGCCTGTGGCCTCCTTATTCTCCATAGAGAACCTTGGAAACATGTCCCTGGCGCTTGTACCACAGTTAATTGAGCCTTTTTCTCTTCCTGAGACGGTGGGCAGTGGGTCTGGGAGCCTGTGGAGTCTGGGCTCTGCACAGTCTCGCTGTTGGCAAAGCTCTGGCCAGCAGCTCCTTCCCTTGCTGTTCGTCCTTCCCCTCAGCACGGAGTCCAAAGGGAACTAGAGAGATGCAAGCGGCCCCTCAGTCCTGGGCACCCTTGGGAGCCACGCCCATCCTCCAGCCATGTCCCTGTGGCCATCACGGGAGCCCCTCTTCCTCCTGGAACCTTGTCACCCTAGACGGGCACCATGGGAGGCCCCAGAGAAGGGCCCCTGAGCATCATGCTGTTCAAAAAATATTTTCTAGTATTTATCTTCTAGTTGTAGGTGGACACAATATCTTTTATTTTATATTTGTGTGGTGTTGAGGATTGAACCCAGTGCCTTAAGCATGCTAGGGAGCACTCTACCTCTGAGCCACAACCCCAGCCCCGCAAATGTTTTATCTCTTCATTTTCCTGAACTAACCCAGCCCAGCACTGTCCCAGCCCCAGGTCCCATCCTTGGGGTTGTTGTTGGTGGGCATGTAGGGGTGTGTGTGTATGTGTGCATGCATATGTGTGCCTTGTGTGTGTGCATGTGTGCATGCATGTGTATGTGTGTGTGCATGTGAATGCATGTGTGCATGCATGTGTGTGCATGTGTGTGTGTGCATGTGCATGCAGGATTGTGTGCATGTGTGTACATGTGCATGCATTTATATGTGTGCATACATGTGCATGTGTGCATGTGTGCACATGTGTGTGTGCAGTTTCCTCCACTACAGCCCCTTTATCCTCCACACCACCATCATCACACGACAGATGTGTATAAATCACAGATTTACCAAAATCTTGGGAATAAATGGGGAATTTCAATGTAGGGAAAAATTGTAATGTACCAAGAAATCTTCTGAGACCCAGAAGAAATACTTCAAGAGTTTTCTTTTTATGCATGCATCCCTTTGGCAGTCTCATGAGACCTGTAAATTATGTTTTCAAATGTATAAAACAGAAGGCAACAACAACGGAAATCAATCGTACTGAAAAACAGTCCCCAAATATCAAACAAAACAAACGTGTGACATAATGACCTGTGTGCTTCTTTGTCGAGGCACTAAATAGTGAGCCCTGGCGGAGGGCACGGCGACGGTCCTCCACCTCGGGTTCTGCAGTGGTTCGTAAACAATGTTCTGGAATGAGTGCGTCGCCTCTGTGTGATGGGAAGGCCTCCAGGGAGGTCCAGTGCTGTCCTGCCCTGAGCTGTCTGGTTTCTTCCATGTGGAAGGGACAGCTGGACCCAGAGGTCAGTGGAAAGGAAGGTTGTCATTCCACCTCCACTGGAGACCCCTTGGGTTCAGCCTCGGTCCTCCCTGCACAGGGCAGCCCTGCCCTCTTCTCTCACCACCAAAGTGTCCTTGTCCCAAGGACGTCCCAGGACAGAGCTCCATCCCTCTTGGTAACCTGTTTCCTTACCACCAGAACCATTCCCTCTGACCTCTTCCCCACCTGGACAAGCCATCCAACACTGTCCACCTCAGCAGCAGGCCACAGAGATGGTGTTCTGGGAGATACTCCACCGGTGCATGGCAATTCTCCCCCCAGCTGGTATTTGATTGAAGCCTGAGCTCAAGTCAAGGGACTTTGGGCCCCAGGGCAGGACATCTGTCCCACTGCTTAGAGACACGAGGCTTACGAGCCAAGCTTTGTGGGCAGAGGAAACTTGCCAGGCTCCAGGCTAACTAACTCCAGGTTAACTAATTCCAGGTTAACTAACTCCAGACTAACTAACTCCAGGTTAACTAATTCCAGGTTAACTAACTCCAGGTTAACTAACTCCAGACTAACTAACTCCAGACTAACTAACTCCAGGTTAACTAATTCCAGGTTAACTAACTCCAGACTAACTAACTCCAGGTTAACTAACTCCAGGTTAACTAACTCCAGGCTAACTAACTCCAGACTAACTAACTCCAGGTTAACTAACTCCAGACTAACTAACTCCAGGCCAACTCCAGGCTGACGGGGAGACTCTGCTTGGGGAGACCCCACGTTGAGCTGTTTTCCGGGTGTGAAGAGGAAAGGCTCCGACACTTCTGTGGTTTAACCCTGGGGCTGGACCAGGAAGGAGGAGGGCATGACACGGGAGAAATGCAGGAGGCTTCCCTCCATTTTCTGGCCAAAAGTTGGACAAAAAAAGCACAAATTGGAGAGGAGGTGAGAAGACCTGGGCTTCCACTCCTCTGACCCGGCCCCCAAGAGTGCTGGGGTGAGTACCAAGGACGGGGCTCTGGCCTCACCCTGGGAACCCGCCCCACAAGCGGCCTCGGCCCAGCTAAGTGTGGAAGAGGAGGGTACCCCCTGGGGCTCACTCAGTCCCTGGGGCAGAGACCCTGGAGGAAGAGCAGCTCTTCTGCCCTCGGAAGAGAGCACGGGCGTAGAGGGTGGCACCAGGCCCGGACAGAGCCCAGGGCCTGGACAGAACGCAGGGCCTGGACAGAGCCCGGGTATCTCTAGCAATCCGTGCCCAAGAGGGCGTTGAAATATTGACGGTGGATGCCGGGCTCCTGAGAGCATTTCACGGCCGAGAAAGAGGGTGATTGACCAGCCCTGGACCCCAGCAGTGGAGGCCAGCAGGACCCCATGACCAGGAGAGAGAGCCGCATCCACCAGCAGGTTCCTGGGGTCAGAGTGATGGACGTACAAGACTCATCACTCTCCTGCTACAGACTTTTATGCCACCTTTTAGGGAAAGGCATAGGTGGGGACACAAGATGAGACTAAATATTTTATAAGTAAACTTACAAAATAGTTATAAAATTTACAAACGTATGAAATCACTCTGGATTTGCAGAGAGATCGTGGCTGACCCCTGTGTCACGCGCGTCAGTCCGGGACCAAGTCCATATGTGGCAGCGGCTA